CCCCCCCCCCCCCCCCCCCACTCTTCTCGGGCCTCAAGCTGAAAGGTAAAAGAAATCAGAATACGATAAAACGCTGTCTTTAGAACAAATAGTAACAAGTTCTGCAAAACAAAACGCAGCATCAGGACGAGAGCTAAGTGAAACATCAACTTGTTATTCGAGGCCCAAGCTTTGCTCCACCAACTCCAGCCACATGCAACCAATTTTCTGCCTCTGTGATCCACGATGTCTGGATATGGTTAGACTCTCGGAGATCAAAGCTGCCTTTGATAATGGCTGCGGCGGTGCAGGGGCTGCTCCAACATAGCAGGGTTAAATCAAATAGAAATAGAAGCAATCTGCTTCATGTCAAGATGTTTTTTTTTTTTACTGCTGCCAGGCTGAGCAAACAGGAAGTCTCACTGTGGCAATTCAACAAAGAGTTTTCATTTTTACACTGAAAGTAGAAGACAAAAATATATAACACTTTTATAAATACATGGAATAATGCAGGAAATAAAGTAAGAATAACCTTATTATGACATTTATTTTGAATCGTTTTTTGCAGTGCGAAGGTTCAAAAATCCACTTATAACTTTATAATTTCAACACATAATTTTGACCAAGCTTTAACTCCAAAAACTGCAACATTTAAAGTGGTGACGTTTTGGAAAAACAGCCTTTTTCTACACTCTAAAAAAACGCACAAACCAGAGTTGTGTTGAATTAGTAGTAGACAAGTAAACACAACTGCAATTTAAAGCACAAATTTGTCATGAAACACACGAAACAAACAAGGACAGCAGCAGTGAAGACACATTTGATGCCTTCATCACTAAAACACTAACAGAATAAAACTGTCTCAATGTGTATATAAATCAGAAAAACAAATAAATAAAAATAAAGCAATCTTCTCACCGGTTTCATGTTGTAGCAGAACATGGATGAGCTGCTGTCTGCGCCAGAGACAGGATGAGCACAGAACATGACTGACCGGATCCACTCCACACTCGCTGTCAGGTCCGTCTCTCTCTACTCATGTGTCCACACACACTCCTTCCTCTAACCCACCCCTGCTGCTCCACGCAGCTACCCGCAGACAACTTATGCAAATCAGGGCTGGACCATTTCAGGGCTGAGTGGAGGGGGAAGGAGGAGGGAAGAGAGAGAGATATCAACACTGAGCATCAGTTTCATCTGCAACAAAACAGAACTTTTACTGTAGCTTTTACTGTTAGTCCAAACTGTTGTTTTTGTTTTATTATAAAGCTGCATCTAAATGATAATAATGAGGGGATTCCCATCCTGTGTGTGAAAGATGGTGACTAAACTACAAGAAAGCAAAAACAACTATTGAATGTGTGTACTCCTATTTTGTTGCATATTTTATTGCATTTTAGTGCATATTTTATTTCCATTCGGTCCTGAGTTGGTGTAAATTCCAGTCCAGAACCCCCTCTTTTTGGCCCACTGAGCTGGGATGACGACACCAGGATAATCTCCTGTTAGACAGGTAGAGGTTTCCAGTAAACACTGACTACTACAGCCTCGTCTGACCCACTTTTACAAATAGAACCAAGTCTTAGTTTAGCAGGCACGTGATGTGCAACAGTGAGCTTCTCCGTCGGCCGGGTTCAGAGGTTATTTGGTTTGTTTGGGTGATCGTCTGCAGCCTAACCTAAAACAGTCGGTTCTTCTTGTCTGAGGTCAAACCTTCTGTCTGCTGCTGGACCTCCAGGACAAAATGAACACATTAAAAATACAATAATGAAACAATCACAGTTGTAAGACAAATATTTAAAAAAAAAGAAGTGAGGCATTTGTATCCAGCATCAAATGTGCACTAGAGAGAGGGAAAAAGAAAAGCTGCAGTTGGCTCGATGCTCGGAGCCGCAGTGTGACACCCGGTCCTGGCAAAGCTTTGTGTTCAACAGAACCCTCACATGAATCCAATCAAAAAACTCCCACTGAGGAAGCATCAAAGTGTTTATCCCAAACACATTACTGACACTTTAATGTGACCGAGAACACACAGCAGATCTGGGGGTCATTTAGCTAAGCTAGTCTTTATTTCTGTTTTAAACTCAAACTCACTCTGGAGGAGGGTTTCATGTAAATTTTGTGCACTTTCAGGACAAACAGACAGATAAGATAAGCTGTCAGCATATGTCAGTTTGGTTTCCAGAAAATCAGATGGGGTTTTTTTTGTGACTACAATAAATGCCTCAAGTACATGAAAAAAGTAAACAGTAAACAGTTTTTTTCCTGTTTGCGTTCATGGGAATAAACATTTTAAAGGTAATAATTACAGTTTGTTAAAACATTCATTTAATAACGATGTTGGCTCATAAAATGTTGTTGATATCTTGATGTAGCATGAAACTGCACACTGATTTGTAATCTGACACATGTGCTGCACCCCATTCTTTTTATAATTCATCAGTTATTATTTTAGAGATTTTTGAGCACTTACACATGTAGCTACCAATAAGCTAAGCTTAGAGAAATATTTCAACAAACTCACAAATTATTAAATTTGTTTGAAACCATTTGAAACACTTCAAATAATAACTTAAATATTGCAGAGACAATCATGTAATAGCCTGTTGTGTGTGTGTGTGTGTGTGTGTGTGTGTGTGTGTGTGTGTGTGTGTGTGTGTG